TCGAAAATTTTTGAACAGTAATATGACCATCCATCACTGAAATATTTTTCAATTAAAGTTATATTTCACATAACAATTTCTTATATTTTGTTTAACAAAATAAATCATCAACTTATTGAAAATAATAAAAATTTAAATGTTTACATTTTTTATCATATATATATTTTTTATCATATGGAAGACAATAAAATAAATAGTAAAAAAAAGGCTTCTTGAAAATACAAATGAGTTATGGAAAAGTTGGATCGTTATTTAAAAACCAAATAAAATCAATTCAGTATATATTTTAAACATTCTTCAGAATAAATACATTCATACATTTAATCTGGTAAATATATTTTTATTTTTAGGAAAATAAAGTTATGACTTCCTTTTTCTAACGACACTCTCCTTCCTTTTTCTAACCCTAAAGATGCCGACACTCTCCTTCCTTTGTCTAACCCTAAAGAAGCCGACACTCATCTACCACTCTTTCTCTCACAAACGCATATACTCTTTCTCATAACTGATAACCTCCTACAAACTGAAGAAGAGATATGTCGTCCTTAGATGATCTGTTTAACATCCAAACGCAACATCCACGCGTACAACCTTCATCAATAGAAACCATCAGCGACCATCACGACCACCGAATCCTTCTGATCTACAACCCCCTATCCCTCATTTGGATCTACACGACGATTGGAGAAACCCAACAGGGTTATGTTGAGGATGTGTCGGTTCTTATTGGTTGCTGCTTCTCTTGTTGCTGAAACGCGTCTGCTTCTGAATTTACAGGTTTTGAATCTTTCTTCTAGTTAAATTTTCATCCTCTATATCTATCTCTCTACCATATACCTAACAGAAAACCCCTAACCCAAAGATTTATTGTATAATTTTCAGAAATTTGAAGGAGAGATCAGCAGGAAGTTCTTGTTTATTCATATTTGCATCCGTATTCGAAAGTGGTTAGGGTTCAGTTGGTTTAATTTCATAGATCGACGAACCCTAGAAATACTAATATTCACGCCTCCGATGCAATCAATTCTTCATAGAACGTATGTATCAAATCCCTAATTTTGAACTTTTTAGTTCTATACCTTAACATCACTTAAATTTATCTATTTGGATTTCAATGTGGGTTTTGAATATCCATTCACAGATTGTACAGTTTAAGGATTTAATGTACGAAGCATTAACAATTGAAGAAAGTTGGGACAGAGATGAAGATATGAAATAAATTATCCACTGATTACTCAATCCTCAGTGCTTTCACTCTCGTTGTTTCTCCATCTTCAGTTCCATTACCAGTGATTAACATAAAAAGGTAAAACAAATTGGTTAATCCGTTGACTATTAATTGATTGTAGGTGTGTTTCCTTTTAATTAATATTGTTGTCTAATTTTAGGTTACCCCAAAATGAGATGGTTTATTATTTTGATTGGCTTTTTGAGAAGCTTCATAGATGCCTTCTCCTCCTTTCAGTCATTTCTTTCTTTTTGTTAATCTGTTGACTATTGACTCAATCCTTATGGACTTTTCTTGCCTTTTTTTTGCCTTTCCATATCTATTCTACTTTGGATCATAAAGGTTTTATGCTCTTTGGTTCTGTTGTCCTTTGTAATTTAGAATTTGTTAAAAAGGTAGGACTTATTTTACAAGGTTTTATTGAATATTGTTATACGTTATAGGATTAAAAATTAATCGGGGGAATGGAGTAGACTTCCTGACTCCAAAATTTATTGCAGGTTTTATGTTTTGATATTTAGTTTTTGTTTAATAACATATCTTGTTTAAATATGTTTGCTTCAAGAAGTCCATGTTTTAAGTGAAGTTTCTAAATTTGAGTTTGTGGGAATTATAAATTTTTAAATAAAAAAGTTTGTTATATTGTTCCTTTATAAAATCAGGTATACCCTGTAAATTTGTATGATAAAAGGGCATTATTATGTCATTTTGTCCAGATCATTGAAAACCTTAGGACCGCCAGGGAGTAGACTTCCTGACTCCAAAGGCACAATGAAAACCTCAGGCCCTTTACATGTTTTTGTTCGGGAATTTTTTTGGTGCTACACCTAATATATATTTATAGTTCCGCCCCTGGGCTATGTTTGTGTCATCTCAGTTAACATCAAATAATGTGTATTACATTATCCTTGTTTTGATGATATAGAATGAAAAATAAAGGCCTAAATCACATTCATAAACTAATCAATTTTTGTATTTTTTTTTCAGGAAAATCTTAAGAGAAACCATCAGAAAGTGTTTTTTTAACTCAAAATCGGTTCTTCCTCACACATAGGTCTTATTTACTGCTGATGGCTCCTTAAACGGTTCTGAGATAAGTTATATATGTGTAATTATTTTTATTGAACATGATTTTGGTATATATGTTGACATATTGACATTTTTTTAACAATTTTTGGTGTTCATATGATGTATCAAGACTGCATGGGTTGCCGACAGATCTTGATTGTCCGATATTTCATTTCTTAGATGAAAAAAGCTACATGGAGAGGTAACTAAATTTATGAAGTTGTTTAAATGAAAAAATATTGTTCTTTAGCTTTATGGATTTTATGGTTATTTTTTTTTTATGAATCAATATTGGAATTGGACTATGGATTCTCCTAATATATAAAATATGTTGAGGATCATGTTACCAATCATACATAGACATATATTACATACAATTTGTTTGATATTTATATTATATATGATTTTTCAGGGAGAATTATTAGCTTTGTAAGGGTTCTATTGGTTAATGAGCTCAAGAAACTATCTGCAACAAACCTATGTTTCCAAGTAAGTGTCAATTTCTTGGTTTCAAAAACTCAATCTTAAATTTCTTAGTCAATCAGATGTAATTAATTAATTAATAGTATAAGAGTAATAATACTTTTTAATCTCTGATTAAATACTATTTAAACTTAACAGCATTTACAACCAACTATGCAGTTCTTCATTGATATAATCAATAAAGTAATAAAACATAGTATTCCAATACATATTACTTAAATAAGAGATAATCTTAAGGAAAATAAACATACCTGTTTTATTTTGATGATGTCGATAGAATAGATGGTTGTTATGAAGAACAAACGTCGTCTATGCATGTATAAAGAAAAACATAGTTATTGAATATGATGTATACGTGAGGAAGTAAAACAATATAGTTAAAAAATATTGAAAACATACGTATGAGCAGATTGTGGAACTGGTGAAAGTTTTCTCTGTTAATATGAATTACAAATTCTGTTTGCAAATGACGTATCTATATAAATATATAAATAGTATATATATATATATATATATATATATATATATATATATATATATATATATTCTAATAATCTGTTTAAAGTTTGTTATGAATGGATAAGATACAGTTCATATATATGTGCTTGTATATTTAAAATATTGTTTTGAAAATGCGTAATCTTTTTGGATATACATTATCTTTTTATCTGCTAAATAATCAAAATTTATGTATTAACTACAACAATGTTATTTATGGTGAAAAATCAAGAAATAGCAATGATAATCATAAAAAAACAACTTAAAATAACAACATTAGAAAATGTCAAACTTTATTTAAACAATCTAGGGAAGGAAAAAACATAAAATTTGCACCTTAGAAAACAATTATAATAAAAAAACTTAGGTGTCCACAATTGTATCGTCTTCCTCGTCACGACGCTGATAACCCTTGCTTCGCGTACGAATCGTGACTCGGGGTTTCTTGATTGGTCGTGTAACCATTGTTGAATCGGTTGTATCGGTTGTTTCCTTTGCTTCATTATTCAACTGTTCATCTTTAGAACTTGAAATATCAATAACTTCGTCCCATTTCCAGTTTGCCAATGCCAACTCTCTTTTCTTTTGTTTTGCAACATTCCATTCATGCAACATGATTTTAACACATTCAACTTGTTCGTTAACCTCATCATCGGTAAAAATCCTCATTTTATCTCTTAGGTGTATTAATATTGGTGTTAAAAATTGAGTATTACTAAAGCTTAATTGAGACTATTTATAACTCATTTTCCCACTAAAGCACGATACTATCCCTAAAATTTAGGAATGAAATTATTTAAACTTTTTAGTACCTTATCGTGAATTAGTCAATATATTATTTTAACAAATTTTAATGGGAATGACGGGATTTGTTCTTATCTTATTTTATAGCTCATTTTTACCAAATATGACCCTAAGGTTATTGAGATGCATTTTCTGTTCACTTTTTAAAATAAAATTCGCAGATAATAAAAGAATATAAAGATATATTTTCATGAGTGCTTATGAAATTATTTATGATTATGAAATATTGTCTTGTTGAATCTGTTTATCAGGTTACCGAATGATATATTTTTTTACCATAACATCCCATGATCTAAACTATAATACATTACAACCCATGAATATATAATTATATACCAAAACAACCCTTGATTTAAAAATTAATACCACACAACCCATTAATACATATTTTTTTTTTATGTAAGAATTTTACTTTGAAAAGGCTAAATTATAACGTTGTACTTTCATTGTATTATTTAAATCACATTTCATTTGGAAAAGAAATGTTCATGTAAGAGCATTTTCTAGTCTTCGACTCGAATATACTTTTGTTTTTCGTATCTGGTTTTAGAAAGTGGATATCGGATGAGGTATCCGAAAACCACAACATCTTACTTTCATTTCTTTATAATATAGATTCTACTTTCAATGTTATTCTCAATCAGGCATTGTACTTAAATTATTTGTATAATGTTGTAATAAGAAATGAAAGTAGGATGCTATAATAAACAATAAGAAATAAACAAATATACTATGGAAAAATATGATTCAAAAACCATAAATTCAATAATAATCATAAGAGAAAACATAAAATCCCAATATCCTAGTAGCTAAAAGCATATAGTACTAAATATAAAATACCAAATTTACGACTTGAATGTACTACAAAAAGTCATTCAAATTATTGATAAAATAAAATTGACGATCTTTCTTGTTAGGCTCATTCTTCATCCGGCCAAGCCACAACAGCTCCTGTTGGAATATGTACATCATTTCCAACCGGATTTTGCTGGATCACACCTACATCATCTTCAGCCTGACGTGGCGCATCATATTCTTGTATTGGTTGGTTCATATCTACAGGTGACTCCAACCAATTTCTGCAAAAGGTAATTTAAAAATAATATTAATAAACACCTACAATTTAAAAACAATAGAAATAATCAATTTAGCATTAAAGTGATTAAAATTCAAGAATATAATATATAAACTAAGTTACTTTTATGAAATTATGAAATAATTGTTTAAATACAAATGATAATATCATGACATACCCGTAATCTTCGTCATCCGGTAGATGACGAAGCTTAAAGAACCTGTTTCGGGTCTGGATCGTGAGTCGGGGGATTTTGAACGGTTTTACTGACTCAGCTGTATCTGTTGTATCATCTTCATCAGTCAACTGATGTTGATTATCAGAACTTACAAGATCAATAACTTCATTCCATTTCCAAGATTCAAGTGCTAAATCACGTTTTTTCTTTCTTTGGAGATAATGTTGTTTTTCACCAGATTCATGTGTTGTTGTATCCACATCATTGTTAAAGGCCTGCATGATGGCTGTCAAGAAAGTTAACATTATTAATTAATATAAGTAAACATAACTTCAAAATGAAACCCAAAACAATAAAGAATAGATGAACATACTTGTTGATAGTTGGAATATTCAATTTGACTGAGAAATGGGTTGGCATTTGGCGGCATTAGTATATATAATGATATTCTTGATAAACTTTGTTTGTTATTAAGGGAGAAAATAGGTATCGTTTAAATTTTGAATTTTAAATCCCAATCCTAATCTTGTTTGTCACATGTCATTAAATCCACCAGCCTCCAATCCACTTTTCCCGCCTAAACTATATTAATGCATTTCAAGAAATTCCATTCGCAACTGATATATCTGATTTTTCATGTATTTAATCTGAAAATTAAAAAATATGTTGGTTATAGTAATATTTTAGTGAATAAAGTTTGATTTTCAAGTTTTGTAATTAGTTTGGATAGATAAATATGATCAGATTTTAAATTTTAAATATTATACTTAGTTTGGATAAATAAAAAGGATAAGAGTAATATTTGAATATATGTTTTTTTGGAGGGTAAGAAAAAGTCAACATAAATTATAACTATCGTAATAATAGTTATATCGATTATCTAAAGTTTGAATTTAAAGTTTTATAGATAGTTTGGATAGATAAATATGATTAAATTTTAAAATTTAAATATTATAATTAGTTTGGATAAATTAAAAGGATCAGAGTAATATTTGAATATATATGTTGTTTTGGAGGGTAAGAAAAAGTCAGCATAAATTATAACTATCGTATTAATAGCTATATCCATTATCTAAAGTTTGAATTTCAAGTTTTTCAATTAGTTTGGAAAATGTTATTTTCTGCACGTTTCGTATTTCTAGTCTTCCATCATCTTTCAAAATATGTTTTTTTTATTAGATCATATTCTTTTCTCAAGTTACTAATATTTTGAAACAGGAAATACCTTTTTAAAAGTCATATGTGGAAATTTGAGTAACTCTTAGGTAAATTAGGTCTAATATTTTCAAGTTTTGTAATTAATAGCAATCCATATTTAAAATACCACCAACAGAAAAAACTTATGATGTTATAATATTATGGTAATGTACTTTCAATACAATGGTTTATTATCATAAAAAAAATTGAACTTGAATATAATAAATGCCAAACAACTACATAAATAAAAATGAAAGTACAACGATTAAAACAAAAAATGGGTGTTATAATAATCAACCAATACAAAGTAAATTGCTATTATTTAAATTTAAACCTTCATATTGATGGCACAATAAACAACCTTATCTATGATTCTAATTTATATTAGATTGTTGGGGTGTAAAGGTCTTCATCTAATTTTTTGTATTCACCCAAGAGTAAGCCATTGGTGTCGACTATCATCCATTGGCCATAAGTAATCCACCATTTCTGTTGTTCATTCATAACTTTATCATTTGAATGAATAATATCTTCTTGTTCCAATGGTAAGGGTAATTTTGGAATTTCTGTATGCATGACCACACTAAATTTGCATTCTTCACATAACCAATCATGTTTGGGTACTTGATCTATAATGTTTTGCATATAATATGTGTGCTCAGCACCATCCTTGCATCTACTACATATAGCAAGTAAATGCTCATAGCCTACATCTCCACAAATATCACACACAATCACATCACACAACTGGTCATCAACAACCTCAACATCCATTACAGTGTTGATCTAACCTGCAAAAAAACAAAAATTTTGTACCTAGAAAATACATGGTGTTTCAAAAATGCAAATGAAAGTATTATATACCGTTTTTTGACTTACATTATATTACATAAACAAAAATTATGTTATATTAACATAAACAAAAATTACACACACACACACCATTATATTAACTATTTTTTTTGTCTTATATTATATTAGATAAAGTTTTGTACAATATTATGTTATATTAAGATATTTTTTTTTGATTTACCTGATTGGACTTGAAATTTATTATTTTATGCAGGAATATAAGCTGGATTGCTAGTTTCTTCAGGATCTGTAAACACAAAACACACACACACAACACTATATTAGATACAGTTAAAGTTTTGTACAATATTATGTTATATTTGATTTACCTGATTGGACCTGAAATTTATTATTTTATGCAGGAATATAAGCTGGATTGCTAGTTTCTTCAGGATCTGTAAACACAAAACACACACACACACAAAACATTATATTAGATACGGTTAAAGTTTTGTACAATATTATGTTATATTAAGATAATTTTTTTTGATTTACCTGATTGGACCTGAAATTTATTATTTTATGCAGGAATATAAGCTGGATTGCTAGTTTCTTCAAGATCTGTAAACACAAAACACACACACACAACATTATATTAGATATAGTTTCTTTATTTACATTATATTAGATAAAGTTTTTTAAAATATAAGTTGGATTGCTAGCTGATAAAGTATTTTGTGTTTTTTTATGTAGGAACAGAAGATGATATGATGATTGTCGCTGGTTGATTGGGTGGTGTAGTACTGGCTGACTCACCATGTATTGTTGGCTGTTTCGTGTCCTGTAGACAAAAAAAAACAAAAAAAAAAACAATTAAAGAGACTGAATTTATGTGTTTAATTTGCAATTTTTTTCTGTTGTATTAAAGAGGGAGATACAGAGTGAGTTTGTGTATGTATGTAAACACACACACACATACACACAAACCTTTAATCACGTTTCATATTTTTTTTTTTGCAGGAATACAGATATATTTGATAAATTAGGGTTTTAGATGCTTGATATAAATAGTTAGGTAGAGATATCGGAAAAATTAACAAAATTTTGATTTCAAATTTTTTTTGTCACGTTTATAATATTTTCCTATGAATTAGGTTTTGACTGTTTCATTCATTACCAAGTCAAAAACAAATGAATTGAGTAAATGTTGACCAGATAAGCCACGATACTCTTTTTAATGCATAAATTTATTGTACAAATTGCATAATGTCTTGTACCTCTTAAATTTCAGCCTTTGACCAAATATTTATATTAAGGTATAATATATATATATATATATATATATATATATATATATATATATATATATATTATATATATATATATATATATATATATATATATGGTAACCACATTTGAAAATTGTAAGGAATGTCTTTAGATATTTGGACAAAACACTTTTATTAGTCATTTGCTCTCCAACATACTTTGAATTTATTTAGTCATACCTGTTATGATGTTGATCTTGGAGGATGTGATCTTGGCCGAAAGAGCATAACCGGTGTTTGTCAATTTCTTAGACGCATACTTGTTTGTTGGCAGCCGAAGAAACAAAGTAGTGTATTCATTTTGACTGCTAAAGATGAATACATTTCGGTTGTGACATGTTCAAAAGTAATATAGATGCAAAGCCAACTAAAATGTTATGGATACAATTAGAAAATAATATTGTTGTTCTATTACTCACACAGTACAATTCAAATACATCATAATCCAATTCAACATTTGAAGACAAGACATATATACCTTCGATATCCTTCCATTAAAGATCACATCCAGAAATGAAATTTCAAGATACATTTCTCGATGGAACAACCTTTCTTTGACTTTTTAATGGGCTTGGTATAATGCAGATGCAGGTATAATGCAGATGCAAATCAGATAAGTTCTTTTTTGAAATATCACTTCTTGTATTCTTTCAAATTTACTGTTCATTTACGAAGCTTTGATAATTTTTTTCTTCTCTCCCTTATGTTTCTTTTATTCTTTTTATGTTTCATTCATTTTTACTTTTAAATGATATTTGAAACTTTTGAATATTTTCGAAACTTTTTTAGATCACCTTAATAAATAAATATATGTAATAAATGTAATTTTTTTTTTATCTAGACATTTATGATTATTTTCAATAATTCTCTTTGCAAAATGAGACACGGTAGCAATCAATGATTTCCTCAAAATTAATATTTTAATATTCGAAGTTTTTAAAGATACAGTGACAAATATGTCTAAAATCATTCATTATTTTGTGATTCCTTGTCAATGATCATTAAATCGTACATCTATTCATCTTTTCATTTTATTTTTAATTTTTGATTGTTTACGAATATAAAATTTGGATTGATAATACGGGGCATTTCGTACTTAAAGATTATACCGGAAGAAATGAATACATGCAATATGCAAATCTCAAATCTTTGATCTTACAATGATAGTCCATTGATTTATTCATTAATTTATGGCATTTCATGGTTCTTCACATTCTATAAGTCTCAATACGGCTTAATTTGTCACAATAGTGAAACAATTCATATGGGAAATTCTATAAGTCACACTTCGATTTAATTTAGTTGCAATTCAAAAAAGAAATTTGTGGTTCATATGATTATGGTAAATAAATTTGTTGCAATCCTGCAAACAAATCTCATGAGCTAAATGGTAGTTGATGCATGAGATAATGTTGAAATGTAGTTTAGTTTCTTTGAGGATTACATGTGAAATCTTAATAACTCCAAACGATATTTTTGAAATATACAATTCTAGAAGTTTTGCACACATTTTATTATTTGGGTACAATATTGGTCATATGTTCAAAATACTATTAGAATTATGGTTTTATAGAACTGTTGAAAAATCTTGTTTAGAGAACTTTTATCATAGTCTTGAATATCTAAATAAGAAACATAGTATAATAAGGGGATCATGACTTATTTTGACGTGGTCGTTTAACTAATTTTCAGAAACAATTTCGAATTTTATTAAAAAACGTATCACAAAAGTATATTCTTACTTTTTATCGTTTATTAAAAAAATCACAAAATTACTAAAAGATTTTGCCTCTCTATAATTCTAGCATATTTCTTTTACTAAAATCAAATTTGTTATGCTTCATTTGTTTTATGTGATTTATTGTTAAAATTTTAAAATACAAAAAGACTACTTTTTTTCTTTATATATATATTTTTTTCAAATATTATAATCTCAAAAGATTATCTATCTTTTTGTTATTTTC